AACAAGGCTTGTATCCTTAGTGATCAGTATACTGGCGTCTTTGCCCCTCGAGCGATCTCTTTACCACAGGTTGAAATTGGTTTCATGAGTTCCAGAGGGGTTCTTGCTAAGCTGAAGCTTCTGTCATCGAGCTACTGCAAAGCATTAATCCTTCTAAAGCTTCCGGTCTTGGTTCAATTCATCCGAAACTGTTGCATGAATTTGCCGCTGAGTTTAGTGGTCCTCTTACATGCGTGTTTTCAATATCGCTGGACAGCTGCATCCTACCTTCGGAATGGAAAGAGGCAATCATCTGTCCGATTTTAAGGGCGGTGACAGCGCTCTACCCGCGAACTACTGTCCTGTCAGTTTGACAAACGTAGTAGTCAAGTTGTTTGAGAAGCTGATAAGGGATTCAGTAGAGAACCATCTGAATGGATTTAACCTTCTCAGTGTTGCGCAACATGGATTCCGCAATGGATTTTCATGTCAGACTAATCTACTTCTAGCTCGTGAAAGCTGGGCCGCAGCGGTAGACAGTGGCCACGCTGTAGACGTGCTATTCGTGGACTTTTCGAAAGCTATTGACACTGTTCCACATCGTCGGCTCTCACTAAAGTTGAGATCTTACGGGATATTTGGTCGCGCCCTTAAATGGGCGTCTGTTTTTTGGTGATTCGGTGTTGCTCCTCCCAACCCTGAGACCCCATGACCGGTTTCGTCTTCCTTTAGACTCATCAGATGGAGATACCCTGAGCTGGGGTGGACCTCGAGGTATAGTGTTCAAAGGTTGACGCCCTGACCACTATGGCTCCTAGGTCCACGAGCAACGTTTGGCACAGCGGTAAAGTGTTCCAAGTGGCATTTGGTGTACTCGCTGTGTGGTTGGATTGCGACTCGCAATCTCTATTCAGACCTCGGTCCTAAGTGGACCTCGGTCATTACGATCACATGGACCGTAACCGAATTGGTGATTCGGTGTTGCTCCTCCCAACCCTGAGACACCATGACCGGTTTCGTCTTCCTTTAGACTCATCAGATGGAGATACCCTGAGCTGGGGTGGACCTCGAGGTATAGTGTTCAAAGGTTGACGCCCTGACCACTATGGCTCCTAGGTCCACGAGCAACGTTTGGCACAGCGGTAAAGTGTTCCAAGTGGCATTTGGTGTACTCGCTGTGTGGTTGGATTGCGACTCGCAATCTCTATTCAGACCTCGGTCCTAAGTGGACCTCGGTCATTACGATCACATGGACCGTAACCGAATTGGTGATTCGGTGTTGCTCCTCCCAACCCTGAGACCCCATGACCGGTTTCGTCTTCCTTTAGACTCATCAGATGGAGATACCCTGACCTGGGGTGGACCGCGAGGTATAATGTTCAGATGTTGACGCCCTGACCGTTATGGCTTTTAGGCCTGCGTGAAACGTTTGGCACAGCAGTAAAGTGTTCCCAGTGGCATTTGGTGTACTCGCTGTGTGGTTGGATTGCGACTCGCAATCTCTATTCAGACCTCGGTCCTAAGTGGACCTCGGTCATTACGATCACAAGGACCGTAACCGAATTGGTGATTCGGTGTTGCTCCTCCCAACCCTGAGACCCCTTGACCGGTTTCGTCCTCCTTTAGACTCATCAGATGGAGATACCCTGAGCTGGGGTGGACCTCGAGGTATAGTGTTCAAAGGTTGACGCCATGACCACTATGGCTCCTAGGTCCACGAGCAACATTTGCCACAGCGGTAACGTTTTCCAAGGGGCATTTGGTTTATTCGCTGTGTGGTTGGATTGCGACTCGCAAACTCTATTCAGACCTCGGTCCTAAGTGGACCTCGGTCATTACGATCACAAGGACCGTAACCGAATTGGTGATTCGGTGTTGCTCCTCCCAACCCTGAGACCCCATGACCGGTTTCGTCTTCCTTTAGACTCATCAGATGGAAATACCCTGAGCTGGGGTGGACCTCGAGGTATAGTGTTCAAAGGTTGACGCCCTGACCACTATGGCTCCTAGGTCCACGAGCAACGTTTGGCACAGCGGTAAAGTGTTCCAGTGGCATTTGGTGTACTCGCTGTGTGGTTGGATTGCGACTCGCAATCTCTATTCAGACCCTCGGTCCTAAGTGGACCTCGGTCATTACGATCACAAGGACCGTAACCGAATTGGTGATTCGGTGTTGCTCCTCCCAACCCTGAGACCCCATGACCGGTTTCGTCTTCCTTTAGACCTCATCAGATGGAGATACCCTGAGCTGGGGTGGACCTCGAGGTATAGTGTTCAAAGGTTGACTCCCTGACCACTATGGCTCCTAGGTCCACGAGCAACGTTTGGCACAGCGGTAAAGTGTTCAAGTGGCATTTGGTGTACTCGCTGTGTGGTTGGATTGCGACTCGCAATCTCTATTCAGACCTCGGTCCTAAGTGGACCTCGGTCATTACGATCACAAGGACCGTAACCGAATTGGTGATTCGGTGTTGCTCCTCCCAACCCTGAGACCCCATGACCGGTTTCGTCTTCCTTTAGACTCATCAGATGGAGATACCCTGAGCTGGGGTGCACCTCGAGGCATAAATTTTAAAGGTTGACGCCCTGACCACTATGGCTCCTATGTCCGCGAACAATTTTTGGCACAGCGGTAAAGTGTTCCAAGTGGCATTTGGTGTACTCGCTGTGGGTTTGGATTGCGACTCGCAATCTCTATTCAGACCTCGGTCCTAATTGGACCTCGGTCATTACGATCACAAGGACCGTAAACCAAATTGTTTGTTCGGTGTTGCTCCTCCCAACCCTGAGACCCCATGCCCGGTTTGTCGTCTTCCTTTGGTCTCATCAGATGGAGATACCCTGAGCTGGGGTGACCTCAAGGTATAGTGTTCAAAGGTTGACGCCCTGACCACTATGGCTCCTAGGTCCACGAGCAACGTTTGGCACAGCGGTAATGTGTTCCAAGTGGCATTTGGTGTACTCGCTGTGTGGTTGGATTGCGACTCGCAATCTCTATTCAGACCTCGGTCCTAAGTGGACCTCGGTCATTACGATCACAAGGACCGTAACCGAATCACCAATTCGGTTACGGTCCTTGTGATCGTAATGACCGAGGTCCACTTAGGACCGAGGTCTGAATAGAGATTGCGAGTCGCAATCCAACCACACAGATCTGTATTAGAAGACGATCGAAGATGTGAGATGTTAGACGCAGATCGTGCGATGGAGCGGCTTTGTTTGTGACGATGTAGTGCCATTGGAGGGCCCCGGAGGGGATGATGATAGAGAGTAGCGAGGTAGAAGTCGTGACGAGACGGAGTCGAAAGTTGGAGTACGAATCCGGGGAGGGAGTCTCCTCGGGACTTGATGGGTTGGATGACCGCAGAGGGAGGGATTGATCTGATTACGCCTTATCGTGAGAGTATGATGTGACCGATGGGTGGTGATTTAAATCGCAGGAGCGCCCAGGTGCGAGGTAGTAACAGACCGGGAGTCACCGGGTGCTGAGAAAGGTATATTATCGAATCAGGTACGAGTCTATGGGGGGCAGCTTTGGCCTTTGAACCCCAGGAGGTTGGGCTACAGGACTCGCAATGACCCTATTGGTCGTGGCGTGGTTTAACGAGAGCGTGGAAGACAGGCCCGGAGAGAAGTATTGTAGTAAGTGTGATGAAGTCATCACAGTACGACGGGGGCGGGGAGTCAAATGAGTATGAGTACAACCCGAGACGGTAAGTTTGTGGCCGATCGAAGGAGCGACACCCGGTCCAGGGTGTGAGGCTGCATCTAGATGGGCGAGGAGACGAGTGATGATCTTCGGCCGGGGAGTAGCCGAGGCAGTCCGTCGCAGAGTACGAGGAGCTGGGTAGCTTGTTGAGTTACAGGAGGAAGCTGCGGTGCGAGTGTTCTGGGGCAGTCCCTCGACCTCTTGGTCCATGGGAAGGGAGAGTATTCCACTTAAAGATATACAATTGGGAACGGGAGCTGGGCGGGAGAGGGGGACGGGCGGCAGATCCGCGGCGATAGGAGTGAGACAGAGCGATGGCTAGCCGGGTAGGTGCGGTCTGACGGGTTGGGTTGGTTTACTTGAGATGGGTCGGGGAGTAGCGGAGTTGCTGAGGCCGAGGGAGTTCTGGTGGAGGCCGGGGAGTAAGTGTCGATGAGGCGGCCGAAGTGGGTGCGATGCCCGGGTCTAGTGAAGATAGGCGTTTGCTGATGAGGGAGTTAGGCTTGAGCGGGGGGTGTGAGGTCGAGAGTGCGCTCAATTGCGTGAAAAATATAATAAAGAAATAAAAAAAATAGATAGAAATGCTGTGTCTTGGTCCGACCAATTAGTACGGTGTGTTGTACAGAAGGGCGGAGAGCTGTGGTGAGTACCTAAGTCACCTGTGGAGTGATGGATGCCCCCGGTAGTGAGGGAGTGACCGGGGACTGCGGGACGGCTACCGCGGATCCTTCGGAGTGAAGTAGACACCGGAAGGTGGGTGTGGAGCCGGGAAGCGTGCGAAGCGACATGGATTGGATTGGAACGTGCTGGAATGCGCCGCGGCAGAACGCTCCAAGAATGTCGTTGTTACTTAGTAGTGTTCTCGGGGCGGAGTAAATCCCCTCTCCCTCGAGATCAACGACGAGAACGTAAAGAGCTTCTACGAAGAACAGACGTGGTATTGTGTATGTCACGCACCCATATATGTAGGAGGAGTTATGAGGTCGAGACGGAGCGAGGGAGAGGCTCGGGTCTCCGCCCGGCAGAGTAAGCCGAGATAACTTGGTCGGGAGTATCTACTGTTACCGGGGGTGCGCAGAACCGTGATTCGACGCTTAGACCTCAGAAAGGTGAGGGGTAGAGGTAATACCGACGTAGGGGGACTCCCGGAATGGATGAAGACTAGCGAGCTTGGCGGAGGCTCGATTTGGAGTACTCCTGTTAGGATCTGTATTTGCGAGAGCCGGAAGAAGGACTTGCCGCCAGGTGAAGAATCGCACGGGATGGAAAGGTGAGATATGAAGAGGCACTGAGGGGTCGTGGAGAGGTTGGTCAGAGCGACGCGTCTGGGATCGAGCAGAGGTGGGTACCGTCGGAGCCGATTGTACTGGCTTGGCGGGTGGTGTTACGTTGTTAACCCGACGGCACTTCGAAGGAGAGTGAGTACAGAAGAGTGGGTATGGTGATGGTGCCTGTGCGAATGCTAGAGAGGGGAAGGCAAATCTTGTGGAGTCAGATAGATGTTGGGCGGGAGCGGCCGGGAGTGGGGTGAGGCGCGAAAGAGGGATCAGCGACGAAGCAGTTAAAGGTCTCTTGTGTACAGGAGCTCGTTCTATGATAGTATGAGATGCGCCACCTCTCCGGCGAGCCCTGTTCCCGGACCGGGCCCTGAGAGGGAGAGTATGATGGAGGAGGAGAGAGACGTAATGAAACCGGCCGATCAGCGGGTGTGAAGACGAAGACGAGCGAGCGAACGGTCGGGGTGAGCCGCAGAGAGTATGGAATTGCTAGTCGTAGATATGCCAGGGCTGCAGCTGACCCTCGTGAAAGGGCCGCGTTCTGCGAGCGATGAGAAGCGTCAGAGACGGGAGGGAGTTTATCCGAGTGCACGAGCGCGAGTGCGTGCGGTGATCGCCCGGCGCCAAATACCAAGTGGGATGGGCAATTCTGAAACAAGCGCCTGTGGACGGCGATGGCCTTTCGGGAGTACCAGTAGCAAGCCCTGACTACTTTTATGCAGTATTGAGTTCGTGAGTGCTGACTGCCTTTTGGAGAGAGGGTGTGTCTTGAGAAGGTGACGGGTCGTAAACATGAGGACCGACAGAAGTCCCGTGGGTTGAATTGGAAGGATGCGGAGTAGAAGCCGAGTATACCTCTCGTCCGGGATTGTAGCTGACGGGCCCTTGAGGCGGTGAGCTGACGCGTCACTCCTCACATCAGCGCCGAGATTACCGTTTTTGTCGATTAGAAGTCAGCACTGTGGTATGGCAGGCCCGCGAGTACATGTATCGAGTGTGGAAACCTGAGATAATGGCGGCCGGTTGAGTTTCGAGCGAGCAACCGGGACTGAGTTAGTGGGCGACCGAGGTCCTAAGGAAAGTCATCCATGAGTAAGGGATGGTGTACGGAGTCATTAACGGTAATTCTCTAGACCATCATTTAAGGTGAGAACGATAGGAGGGACGTTGGAGGGTAGTCAGGACGTCTTACCCGTAGGGTAGCCCGTAGAGCGGCCTGGATGTCGAGTCTTCGATAGAGGATGGTGATTGCCAAGAGAGTACAGCGACTGGCAAGGCGATCAAGAAGAGTTGCTCGGGGCAGTGAGGAGGGCGGAGTATCCCTTACCGAGGTACACAAATGCCACTTGGAACACTTTACCGCTGTGCCAAACGTTGCTCGTGGACCTAGAAGCCTTAGTGGTCAGTGGCGTCAACCTTTTGAACACTATAACCTCGAGGGTCCACCCCAGCTCAGGGTATCTCCATCTGATGAGTTCTAAGGAAGACGAAACCGTTCATGGGGTCTCAGGGTTGGGAGGAGCAACCGAATCACCTAATTCGGTTACGGTCCATGTGATGTAATGACCCGAGAGGGCCACTTAGGACCCGAGGTCTGAATAGAGATTGCGAGTCGCAATCCAACCACACAGCGAGTACACAAATGCCACCTTTGGCGTCTGTTTTCTTGAGAGGAGGAACTGCGTACGGGTGAGGCGTAGAATATCGCCCAGGCAAGCTGTCCTTAGTGCCGTCACGCTGGGCTCGGTATGGAGGCCATTGTTGTTTGCGATCTATGTAAATGACTCGTCAAGAGAGCTAGGGGTGTCATCACTAATGTTTGCTGAAGACCTTAAGCTCTGGAATATTGTGGATATCCCGGGGGTCCTGAGGCAATTCAGCGTGCCTTGGATAGGCTCTGGGAATGGTCTACCTTATGGTTGATGCCCATAAATAGGGCCAAGTGCTCTGTTCTCCGAATCGGAGCTGCTAATCCTCCCACCCGATATGTTGTCGGCGGTGGTGAACTCCCTGTTGTCACTCAGCAGGTTGATTTAGGAGTCGTACACGCATCAGCACTTCATTCTGGAGACAACTGGAAGAAGGCTGCTTGTCGAGGGTTTCGTATGATGTGGTTTATCCGCCGCTCTTTCGGAATCTTAACGGCCAATTTGTTTGTGAAGCTATTTTCGGCATTCGTCCGACCCCACCTGGAATATTGTATTCAGGCTTGTCCACCATGTCTTAACCGAGACAAAATGGACTTGGAGAGGGTGTTACGAGTGGGCACTCGGTTAGTGCAGGGTCTACGGGGACAGACGTATCCTGAACGCTTGCTCAGTTTGGGTATGTACTCCATGCACTACCGAAGGATAAGAGGGGACCTGATTCTCACTTATCGTATTTTGACGGGTAAGATTGGCCCGGACTTGTCAGGGCTATTTAGTCCCGCTACGTTACCTAATCTCCGCGGTCACCCACTGAAACTGCATAAACCACGGTCTGATAGGATTAGGACGGAAACTCGTCTGTCGCGCCGAGTTATAGATCGCTGGAATTCGCTTCCAGATCACGTGGTTAGGGAACCTACGGTTAAGGGTTTTGCGCGCCAGCTCGATGCTCTTGGGTGGCAACAGCAAACCTTTCCTTTTTCCTAGCTGACTCACCTTCACTTTTCAGTTCTTTTTTAATGACTCAAATATCTTGGTATTCTACTTGCTTAGCTCTTTCCACTTTCTCTTTTGCCTTCTGGGTTTACTTTTTCTCTTTCTTACTTCACGTAACCGGCCCAGCAGGGACTGCTAGGGCAGGATACGTGGGCATTAATTGGTTGGACAGGGTGTGATGCGGTCTTTGTTTTAGGTCCATCAGTATTTCAACGTTCGCCAACATCCCGTTCAACGATCCGCCGAAGAAGAACAACTCACAGGATAATACTATCCTTTCAGTCTTACTTGAACTTGAACTTGGGGATTGGTTAGCTAACTTGGGTTTGTTCTTAATGAGAAGATGCAGATTGTGAGATGAATTAATAAAGACGTTCAAAATCATGAAAGGTTCCAGTGGTCTCAGGCCCACCGATCTGTTTGAACCACCTACATCAGACAACTTGCGTGAAATGGAAGCAGCATAGATCTAGACTGGAGTTAAGAGCCAGTTTGTTTGCAAACCGGGTTATGCCTGTCTGGAATAAAATTCCTTCCGCTCTATTAGTATGCGAAACTGTGGAGGAATTCAAACGTAACCTAGACTGACATTGGCTGGTCCTTTTTCCCGTATTTCCTTGAGCTTCGGTGACTGCCCCCTAATCTCATTACTTCATGAAAGTGTGCTACTCGTCTTGCACTTGATTCTGTTTTTTCACCATTATAGAATCAAGAATATTCTATCAAGCTGCAATGCTGGAGTCCTTTTTCCGCTTACTGGCACACGAAACGAGATGGTCGTTAAGTGGAAGCTTGTTTCGTCCCTGGATCCTGTCCTGTCCAAAACTGGCCACCAGGTGTCCATGCACACCCCCCCCCGGCCATATATATATACACCTCTACACACCTCCCAATATCCTTCCCACATGTTTGTTTGCTAGGGCGTGATGGCTTCTACCCCCTTCCCCCTCGCTTGGTGTTTCCCCCCCCCCCCCCCCGCATCCCGGCACCGCCCTCGAGCGACTCGCGAGCCGCGACCGCCCGCCCCCCGCCGGGGGACCGCCCACCCGATTGGCCCCCCCCCCGACTGGGGGACCGGCGACCCCGTCGCCCTGCGCCCGACCCGAAACCGCCAGCGCGCGCGTCTCGCCCGAACGCGAACCCGGGACGGGCTCGGGCCCCCATACCTCCTCCGCCCTCCCCGGTGGAGGGCGCCCGCCCTGCCGACGTACGAGGATCGGAGCCGCGGACGCCCTGATACCGCCGAAACGTGGCCGGACGAGAACGCGCCCCCGCAGACCACCGGGGAAGCGCGGCCCTCGCGAATGACCCCCCGACCTAACCCCGCCTCCCTACGGGCCCGGCCGCGGAAACGAACGAGATATTTCCCCCCGCCCGTCGCCCTCTCCTGCCGGCGGGTGGGAGCCCGCGGGGGATCGCGCCGGAACCGGCCGCCGAGGATCCCCGTGGGACCCCGGCGACGCCCGCCGGGGGCCACGCAGGCGAGCCTGCGTGTCGAGCCGCGGGGCCCGATGTCGGGGACGCGCCCAGCGTGGCAGTATGCTGGAAGCGCGCGGCGGGCGCCGCCAATTGACGCCCCATGGGGGGCCCTCGCCGGCCTCGGCGAGGCCCCATGCCCCCCACCGACCGGGGACGACGGCCCCCCCCCACTGACGGGACGCTCGCCCCCGGCGGGCGAGACCCCTCCCCCCCGAGCCGCGGGTAATGGGCCCGACGCGCCGCCCGACCGCCCGAGGTACGAGGCGGGTTCCGAACGGCACGCCGGCCGACCCGCGAATGGAAGAGCCCCCCGGACGGGCACCGCATCCCCGAGACGGCGCCCGCGAACGAATGCACTCCTCCCCGCGATGGCGTCGGCGTCTGAATCCCCCGGCGCGCCCGGAACCGCGGGAGCCCTCCCCCCCGCCGAAATGCCCGTCGGACGGTGAGACGGCGCCGAAGACCCCCCGCGACCCCCCGACTGCCGTAGGGGGGGGGTGACGGATACAACCCGACCGACCGTCTCCCCCCAGAGTAATCTCGCCCTCGATCACCGGGGCGGAGAGAGCGATGGCCGAGAAAGCCCCGCCGGGCCGGGGGGGGGACCCCCGCGGCGCGACCGCGGAGGGCGCTGCTGCGCCGGGCCGCCCCCGGCTTGTCGGGCGGCGCGTTAGCCGAACCACTCCCAGCGAACGGACTCCCGGTATAATCGAATCGGAGCCGGAGCCGGCGGGACCGCCCGGCGGGGGGGACCGACCGGCCGGCCGGTCGACCGACGTGATTCCCCGCCACGGGCGGAATCCTGCCCCGCCGGCGCGAAGCGGGACGGGCCCCAGTCGCGACGACTCCCCCGCCCTTCGACGGCCCGGCGACCGACCGGCCCTTTGCGGCCCGGGGATGTAACGGCTACGAACGATGCCCTCTGCCGAGGCGAGCCCCGACCGAGGTCGGCGTCCGTCAGCCCGCCAGGACTCCCAGACGACGACGACCAGCCCGGCCCCGCCCCGAACACGGCTCGTCGCTTCTCGCCCCGCGCTCTGACCGCGACGACGGGGTCAGAACCCGAACGCCGGGTGTTCCGGCCGGTCGCTACTCTCGAGGCGCCGGACGGGGTATAGACGTGTGAAGGTCTGCCACCCCGACGCGGGCCGAAGGGCGGCCCCGGGACCCCGAATCGACACGAACAACCCCTCCGATGGCGCGCCGGGAATCCGCCCTGTCCCGCGGAACCCAGCTCGGAGCCAGCCTCGACAGCCGGTCCCCCGGATCGCCGTCGAACCGTCCGCCGGGCCCATCGTCCGCCCGATCCACGATCCGAACGGCGCCCCGAAAGCGGCCCTCCGGAACCCCCGCCCGACCCAGGCGGCCGCGACCGCCTGCCGATGACCCGAGCCTCCCACGCCCGGACCGTGCGCACGGGGACACGACGGTACGACCCCCCCCGCGAACCCGGCATAGAAGCGGGCCCCACGAGGGGACTCGTAACGCACTCGACACCCCGCCGTCCGCTCCTCGGGCGGGCGCGGGCACGCCCCAACCGAACTCTGAGCATGCGAGGACGCGGCCCCGCCGGCGGGCCCCCGCGTCCCGGTGTCCGCCGCCCGGACCGGGGACCCTCGCAGCGCCCGTCGTGCGACGACCGGATGGGACCCGGGTAACCGCTGCCGACTCCCCCGAATTCGCGCGCCTCCGCGCTCGCCCCCTCCTGCCCGGGCGCGGCCCCCGCCCCCCGGCGGCGAACGCCCACGACCCCCCGAATGAGGCACGCCGCGCGCGGCCCCGGAGGCTCCCGAACACACTCCCCCGAGCGCCCGCGCGCGATCGCCCCCCCGCTGCCGGCGGCCTCGGATCCCCGCGCGCACCGGCTGACGGTGCTCGATCACCCCTTACCCTCCGGAGAGGCCCCCGGGATCCCGGACCGAGGGAACCGACAGAAGGGGCCGCGCGGCCCGCGACGGAGGATGCGGTGCGGGACCCGGCGGGCCGCCCCCGGACGGCGCCCGGCCCGCGGCCGGCCTGCGCCCCGCGCCGACGCCGCGCCGCCGAGGCCGCCCGGTCGCCCGGTGTTGCGAGAGCCGATCCACCCGGCCGACGGCCGCCCCGGGACGGGCGCCCGGCTGCCCCGCCAGTGCGGACCGCGCGCCCCCGACCGGCCTGCAGGGGGCACGCGTCACCTCGACGCGGGGAAAGGCGGGCAGCGCCCCGCCTATACAGAATCGCCGGTAGCCGAAGCCCCCACCGCGAACCCCCCCCACGCACCTGCGCCCCCCTAGCGCAACAGCACGCCCCGACCCCCCCCAAGGAAAAACCCCGCGCCGAAAACTTCGCGCGGCGCGTCCGGGACGGTAGCGTGCGATCGCCCGTGTGCGCACGGCGCGTACGCGGGGAACTAGGACCTCCCGCCCGACCCCGCCGGGGCCGGACGCTGAAACCGCCCCCCCGCGCGGCGGCCACGGAACCACGCGGTCCCCCGGCCGGGAGCCGGCCCGCCCCGGCGGTACCGACGCGCGCCCCGCGCCGGCCCCCCCGAACCGCCCGCCGTACGCGTTACGAACGGTCGGACCGGGGACTCGCGCGGCCCCCCGGCATCCGGGAACCGCGCCCCGCCCCGCCCCACCCCCGGCCCGGCGCGTGAGCCGGGCTCCCCAGCCGCCCCCCGGTGGAGATGTAACCGGCTCGGGGTGGAGAGGGGCCCTAGCCGCGAGACGGCGGGCCCGGAAGCCCCCCCGCCGAACGCGAACGGCCCGAGCGACCGCGGCGGCGACCGGCGCCGTGCGCCGGCGGTCCGCGACCGCCGAAGCCCAAGCCCCACCCGTCCCCGATCCGCGCCGCACGAATGATTCGGGGCCGGTCGCCCGTCCGCCAACGTCCCGCGATCGGTTGTTCCGCACGTTCCGAGCGTTTGTTCACGCGCGGCATCGGGCCCCCCGCGCGATCCCGAAGCGCGCCCCGCACCATGCGGCACGTGCGCCGAAGAGCGAGCGCTCGCGAGCGCCGTCCGCCGACCCCGGCGCCCCGAACCGGACGGGCCCCCCCGCCGCGTCGCCGGGAACTCCTCGGCCGACCGCGCGACGCGCGGCGCGTAGATGACAGGTAGAGTCGTCGCAGAATCAACATTATGAAGCAAGTTGAAGGTAAGCAACACAATTCAGCTATTGTGCCGCAAGTAGAACGGAACCCTGTCTGTAATTATTTCACACACCACTGTTGTCTTTTATTCTTTTTGATGCTTAGACACTAGGTATCATAAGCCTGACATGTGTGTTCACACAGACAATCCACTAGTTTCGATTGTGAGTTGTTTCCTTAATCGTCTCCGGCTATCGGCGTCCATCATCCTTAGGTCCCCAACAAAGCAGCCGTGTGGATCCAACGGCAGAGAAACGTGAAGTCGTTGGTTTCATCTGTTTTCGCAAGGCAGATGGTTGGCCACAGCGGGGTCTCTTTCAGTCGAGTCCTACACGAGCGAACAGGGCGCGATAACGCAGACGCTCAGCTGACATACACAAGGCGTGGTCGAGCAATGTTAACCAGAGCAGTAAAACCAGCTGGTTGAAGCAAATACCGGTATTCCCTAAGACACAACCTCTGACTTCGCTTTTGCCGCTAGGTTGTTGTTAAAACACACGAGCAATTTCAATCAAGCACCCATTACCGAACAGCGAGAGCCGGTTCAAGTCATCCACACAAACGAACCATGATGCCCTGCAATACAGCAACACCAACTGAACGGTGGCATTCTAAACCCTACCCCTTACCATGAGGGAAACATCCGAAGACGCCACAAGTGTTGCAGCTGGACAATAAATGTCTCTGATTCAGCGATGCAGCGAGGAATATTGTTGCTGATTGCGCCACCAGCAGACACAAAGTTGTCCAGATGTACAATGCTATCAACGTGTTTAAGCTGTGCAATTTCAGGTTTGGGCATGGGTACGGGTCAGCACTAATCCAGAAGCGTCGCCTTGCATTTCGACGGAAGGAAGCACCCTCAATTAAGCAATTCAATCACTAAATGGTTTAGAGTGGTTTGAATACCCTGCAAGTCGTCACCAAGTACTGCGAAGTCACTGGCGTAAGCTAAGTCGATTGCTCAGTTACCCGGTAGTAATAGCAATCCAAAATGTTGGTAACGCACCAGAAATCTCAACAGCCAATTCATTCGTTAAATTTATGTGTAACAGAAACGTGGGGCAGCCCTGTCGTACCCTGCGAAGGAAGAAGAAAGTTTGCTATACTCCTTAACTCCGCTGGAGGATCAGGAGTAGATTACACGCAGGGTGGTTACGAACACTTCCGGGACCCCGTTTGTTAGCAAATAACGTCATAGCGAGTCAAATGCAGCATGTTGGTCGAATATATGATTGGCGGCATCCGGTTTCAGATTTGCCTGTCACTGTGGCCAGCCACAGGAGGCCTGCGCCTACAGAGGTACCATGGGTGGCTTTCGCTGCACCGTCCACAGCTCCATCCATACACCCCATATCCAGTGTAAACCTGAGGAATAAGACCGGGAGGTATGTGGATGGGAGCCACGTTACATCAATGGAGCCGGCCCACACTCCTTCATAGGC